TGGGCTCGAACCTGTTTACGCGGATAGCGACGCCATCCCGACAGCAACTCAAGGAGACAAGCAACGAACCGACAGAACTCGGGCGATGCCAATAATTCTACCACCTCCTTGTATTACCCGGAGCGGTAGGCAGATCAGTAAACCTACCCGCCTTGTCCACTTTGCCGTTTAATACACAGCAGGTAGTAACAACTTTTTTACATACACATTATTGCCATTCATCCTGATTATTGTTGATTTACTTGATATATTTGTGTCAGATATGATATCATTCTTCCAAATTATTATTATTTTTACTAAATAATCACTGTGCATGTGTATATATGAATTTACAACCATTTTCTAACAATTACTACTACATTGATCAGCATTCAGATGGACGTTTTCTTTATTATTATTGTTATTATTAATAATTATTATTATTATTGCTATTATTGTAATCGACTCTGATGCCAACGTTCACATTAACATTGATCCCTATCGCAATTTCTTTCATTCATTTGTATTATCTACACAGCTGACGGATAAATATCTGTGTTTATTTATGCAAATATTTTCTTGGGTGTGTGTCCATTTACTCTCAGTAACATATAATCATCGAACTATCATCTACTTTCAGTTCAGTAGTTTGTGTCGAACTAATCACAAAAGCGTCAAACCGCTTCTTTTTCTGTATCCTATAGTGCTGTGCGTCGTTATGAGTGTTTTTATTATCACAATTGTACTTCTTATCGTCAGTAGCAGTGAAAGCAACAGTCCCAGTAATCTCTCCGGGGAGCCATGCGGTGGCCGGAAAATATATCGAATTATACGTTCACTGTAAAATAGTAGAAATAATGAATTCACAGAAAATCATGGTTGTTACGTGATATCGAACACGGACACTACCTAGTTGCGCGCGCACAATACCCTAACCCTAACCAATGGTTGAAAAAATTGGTGATATGGCTCAAAATCGTTCTTAACGGCTGGTGCAGATGCATCCACTCCTTGTGACTTAGGATTTCAAAGATACTATGTTGTTCTTCGTTATTAATATTCCTTTGTCTCACACCTCTGTTTACTGTCTCTATTATGCATTTCTGCTACTTCCTTCTCATGCTTTGTGTGCTACATGGAGTGTGGCGACTCGAACTGTCGCACACCAATGCAAAGTTGTATCTGGAAAACAGGCAGAGAGAAACAGTGGAAGTTTGTTTGGTAACTGAGCATATTTCAGTGACTGGCAATCACCTAACTCGACGTTGCGAAATAATTCATCCAGAAGCTGTCGATCCGTGAGAACGTTTATTCTTAAGAGGGTTGCTTTCAGAAACTCATGCGACTTGCTTACCTGGACATATGCACAGTTACGCATTTACAGAATTCCCTCCGGAGAGTGTGGACAACTCCAAGGGACTTTGAAAACTGGTTAGTGATCCCATGCTGACTGAAATAAGCCTTGGCTATTTGAAACCATGATTCCACCTTATCTGGCCCAAATGGTATGAACTGAGTTGATCCGAGACGAATAACCTTGAAAGTATGATCACTCATGGCGATATATGTATACAGTTTAAGAATAAATACAGATAGGAAATAATTCTCTGGATTTGTTTATGTATTTGTTATGTACTAGTTTCCCCGTCGCCAAATTGTTATGTACTCGTCGCTAAATTATTGTTATGGACTGGTCGAGAAACTAATAGTCCTGACGCGAGAAGGCGGAAATCAGAAGACCACTAGGTTTGCGATGATACTTCTATTTTCCAAACACAATGAGAAGCAATAAGTGGTATCACACCAAAGTGTAAGTAAGTAAGTAAGTAAGTCACAAGATTGTGAGAACGAAATATATATGGCAAGGGTGTGAACAATCATTAGACAGTCTTAACATGAATGGCTAATTATAATGAAGTATCGATCCATATATACATAGCGAAATATAGCAGACATGTCAACAACTACCATATATGGATATATGTCACCAAGCAACGGACTGTCAACAAACACTCATATTATATATAATATAAGGGTAATATACATTGTTAAAGGAGACAAGTTCATACAAGTGAAATGGTCACAGACTAAGAGAGCAAACAGAAAGAGAGACCAACATACACACACACATAAATATATATATATGTGGATACATATCACCTCCCCTTTTGAGAAGATGGATGATTAGTAGGATGTTTACCTGGGGGTTTATCTGGAACCTTTGAGCTTGTTGTTGACGTCTGTCGTTTCGTCTGCGTGTTGGGTTTGCGGCTTCGGCTTCGTCCGGAATTGTCTGACATTTTATGCTTCTTGACTGCATTGCATAGCGAATTTAGTGGGACATCAGCCAGATGCAAACGATCGAACCAATCAAGTCCCAAAAGATTTAAATCACTCTTGGTGACGTAGCAAATTCCTGTGAATTTGGTATTGCGGAAGGAAACGGAACATTTGAGTTCACCAATTAGTTTGAGCCGCCCACCACAGGCGCTGAGAAGAGTCTGGGAAGTATTTCCGATTGGTGGTCTGCCAATATCATTCCAAAGTTTCTCTGATATAACAGTAATATCAGAGGCGGTATCTAGCTGCAGACGTGTATCATGACCATTCATCTGAATATCAAGATATTTCCGCATAGCTGGTGTTGTGACTTGACGGGTTGCGCGTAGACTCAATGATCTTTTTGGAGATTTAGGACCAACCGTTTGTCGAGCTTTTGCTGGATTTTGATATCTGGGTTTGCGTGGCTGACAAAAACCATTTTTATGACCGATGACTTTGCACTTGCTGCAACGATGATTTTTGTACGGACAAGACTTTACAAAGTGCCACGCGCCACAATGCCAGCATGGTGATGGTGGGGTCTTCTTTGCAGTATTTTGTGAAGTTGGACGAGTATGTGTAGATTTCCGCGGAACATTAGAGAAGGTGGGTCAGGACTGGATGATGAGAGATTTTTGCTCTTTCGTAATGCACGAATATCAGAGCTTCTCGAAGGTGTTGATTCGACCAGGTGTGTGTCTTTCTGCAGATTAATCAGCCGTTGATATTCATCAGCTATGTCATGTAATGTTAACTTGGGATTTTGTTCTAGCTGATTGAGCAGTCGAGTTCGGATATCTGTGAAACGAGGAGATTGAAGACTGCATATGAGAATCAAGGCTTTGAATTGATCATCTGTTAAGGACCTGAGTCGAAATCTCTCACATTCTCGGTTGACTGTGCCAACGTGAGTAAGAAAATCATCATTTTCATTCATTGTCAGCTTGAGGCAACGATAACGTATGCTGAATAATGAGGAGTGGTCTCCAAAATGTTCACGCAGCAGCTTTATTGTATCATCGAAACACTTGTCACGTGGTTTCTGGGGTAAAATTAGGTTGCAGTACCGTTCATATTCTGCCGGACCCAATTTACGTAATAACACTCGCACCTTCCAGGCATCGTCTTGTGAGGCGAGATCAACAGTGAATAAATCCTCATAACGTTGATACCATGTGTCAAAAGTGACATTAGCCTCTGGGTCATAATTGAACTGTGAAATACTGTTCACAATTCCGTCGACAGATGGTAGCATGGTATGATTGGGATTGCTTGAAGGTGAAGCTGGACCAGTCTGTTGGTTGACGAACATTTCCATTAATTTCATTTGTCGTTCAAACAGTAATTCCAATTTAGAAGGATCCATAGTAAATTGTTATGTTGCTGCTGCTGAGTGGTTAATAGTAGTTTTCCCCGTCGCCAAATTGTTATGTACTCGTCGCTAAATTATTGTTATGTACTGGTCGAGAATTTAATAGTCCTGACGCGAGAAGGCGGAAATCAGAAGACCACTAGGTTTGCGATGATACTTCTATTGTCCAAACACAAGGAGACGAAAATAAATGGTCTCACACCAAAGTGATAAGTAATTAAAGTAGTTCACACAGAATGTGTGAACGAAATATATATATAACAAAATATATATATAGCAGACATGTCAAACAACCACCATATATGGATATATGTCACTAAGCAACGGACTGTCAACAAACACTCATATTATATATAATATAAGGGGAATACACATTATTAAAGGAGACAAGTTCATACAAGTGAAATGGTCGCAGACTAAGAGAGCAAATAGAAAGAGAGACCAACATACACACACACATAAATATATATATATGGATACATATCAGTATTTGATTGCATGGAGGATTTAATCATGAGCTGACATCAGTTAGAGAACCACTGGAAAACCTGGGAGTACTGGACAGCCGTTTCGTCCTAGTTTGGGACTCTTCAGCAGTACGCACCCACCGGGATTCGAACCCAAGACCTTCTGGTTACAAGGCGAGCTCGTAGACCATTGAGCCACTGGGACCCGATCCAATGGTCCTTGAATTCTAACTTCTGCCAATCCACGTTTATGTATTTGCCGAAGATGAAGTTTGCGGTTGGGCTCACAAGTTTTGAGGCTTAAGGTGTAGACGTTCACGGATAGTACGAAGTATACTAATGCAAGATCTAATACCCACAACCTCTGTGGTCCGTTCTGCGTGGACCAAAAGCGAAGCGAAACACCGGAATTGACCGTCCGAATTACGAAGTATATTTCGGAAACAAATGAGCGTGAGAGATAACCGCTTAGCTAGGGATCGCGCACGGACGAAGGAACTTGACATGGCGGAGAACCAAATGGCGTGGATGCTTGATGCGAGCCTTTCAGCCAAACTACTTGACTAAAACAGGGGGAAGGGTCATCATCCAGTATACACTGTTGAATGCTATGCCCAGTAATTCTGGGGAATTACCTACCTCCACACTGTGATGCTTGCAGCCAGGGTTATTCAGTCCCCCCATTTCTGGTGAAGCATAATTCTTTACTTGGCCTCTTTCTGTGCTCTGAAGTTTCTGTAGCTATTCCTTTGGTTCCACAGGGTTATGTCACCATCTCCAAGGAAACCTTTATTTTTTTTAACACCCACCACCATAGTTACTTTTTAAATTGAGTTGGTGAAAATTTTCTCTTTTTATATCGTAACTGGGTCGTACGCGGCTGATATGAATAAGCGAGGAAAAATCACATCATTTACTCTGACCAATTTGTTCTCGTTTTGTTCAAGTTTGTCGCGTATTGTGTTCTGTCAAGGGTATTCAGAAGCGCGGAACATTAATTGTTAAAATGTGCGCAGCTGTTTCTCCGAAAGTTAGGGCTATTGTTGACCGAATTATCCGTGTTGATCATGCTGGAGAGCTTGGTGCTAACAAGATTTATCAGGGGCAGTTACTTGTCCTCGGAAAATCTAGCGTTGGACCTAAAATTAAGGTAATATGGAATCTTTTCTCAACAAATCAGTATTGTCTGTTCCTGATTTATAATGATGAGCTTCACTAGTTCTTCTGAATCTCTAATGTATTGTTTCATATAGAAAAGTGTAGTGAAACCACACTAGATGAGTGTAAATTAGGGAGTACATAAGTTTACATTTTGGTCATCCGTGAAATAATAGAGAGTCACTGCTTCTGTCTAGATGTAAATGCTTTTGGAATATACAACCACGTAATTCTAAAGCATGGCTACACGTCACTGCTTAGCTTGGATGTATAGCATCGGTTTTGGTGGATTGACTTCGTTTGTCGGTCTAACCCTTTTCGATCCTAATGAGACATCAGGTCTCAGTTTGTTTTTGGAGCATGTGTAATACAAGTCTCGACTGCTTCAGTGACGTAGGCTTTAGGACTTCATTGGCTTTTCTGCTGTACCATTCACTAACTGCCTCATGTTACTGTTTCTTATTATGTAACTTGAATATTTGAACTAAGGTCTTGGTCACAAACTACTGGTTGTTTTCCACCACCTTAGATTGTTTGTTTTCACCTACAACCGTAAAATGAGTTTCAAGTTATGGATGTTATATCTATATATCAGTATTATATTCTCTCCCATGTAGGTGGCCTGAGGTCTGGCCTGTCTGTTGAGTAGTAGGTGTGACGTCTTTAGGGACGTGTGGTGTAAGAATCCCACGTTGATTACGTGAATATTGAACAATAGTATATTCTTGCAGTAAAAAGGAATTTTTCACAGACTCATTATAAAATCTCCGGGTATGCGACCACATTTACGCGGAGCATTCTTATCTACAAATTACCTTTTCTAGTCGTTTCCACTTTACATTCAACCATAACGCGACATGTATGCTTATTGTCAATTGTTTTTGCCATTAGGAACTACAGCCTTAGTTACGTAAACGTCATTCCTCTCCATATATATATATATATATATATATATATATATATATATAGGGAATGTTCTTCCTCCACATTTTTCGATGTGAAAGTTATTAGGTGAAAGACATCTGCTTTTTGAAGAATGATATGTAATTTTCAAGTGCTAAGTAAGCCAGACGAAATTCTGATATACAATTCGCTAAATGGGTTTGATATATGTCGTAAAATAAGTGCAGGATCAAATCTGGAGTAGCATCATTCGTGCTCTTCTAAAGACGGAATTAATAGCATTTCTATTACTACATGAACTCCATAAATTACCCATGTGTGAGTAAACATAAATGAGGCTTAATCACTCGTTTTTTCGACACGAGAGTTGTTTTGCTTAATAATTCGTTGTTTGCGGATAGTGTTATTTTATATATGTGAAAACTAAGCACTGGATTTTCGTTGTTTGAATTTCGTTTGAATAGTACATAATCATTGATCGTTTTAGTTTGAGTCTATTCGATTAATTGTATTTTGGTTACAGGATTTCATCATGAGCTGACATTGGTTAGAGAACCATTGGGAAACCTGGGAGTACTGGATAGCTGTTTCGTCCTAGTTTGGGACTCTTCAGCGGTACGCAACCACCGGGGAAGTCGTGACCAGTAGGGTGCAGCAGGTCCGGTGTGAGGACAGATACTTGCCGAAGACATTGGCTAGCGGTTGCGCTATATCGTGAATTGGCAGAAGTTAGAATGCATGCACTGGCCATTGGATCGGGTCCCAGTGGCTTAATGGTATACGAGCTCGCCTTGTAACCAGAAGGTCCCGGGTTCGAAACCCGGTGGGTGCGTATTGATGAAGAGTCACAAACTAGGACGAAGCAGCTGTCTAGTACTCCCAGGTTTTTCAATGGTTTTCTAACTAATGTCAGCTCATGATGAAATCCTGTAACCAATCAACCAAATCCCTACAAACCAATAATTGTATTTTTGTCACGACATATTTCTCCCCCTACTAGTCTTTCGAATTTACAAATAGGATAATTGAAAGTTCCCAAAAATCGGATGTTAGTTTTGGTTTTGCTCATGTAAGTCATACTGAGAAGAAACGAGTAATTCTTTGCTATAATAGTCCTTTGTTCTTAAAAGCTTGCTAGTGGTGATGCAGCATTGTGTTAAAAGTAGCCTTTGGATTACTTATTTGGAGGGTTGTTTTAGTTTTCATTTGTTTACCTACGTTATATGTGGAGACGCGGTTCATTGTCGTAAGCGTTCAACATTCAGACAGCAGGCCTAGGTTCGAGTTCCTCTCCACCTATTCCTGCCTCGGCAACTGAAGTGTCATCAACCTCCACCGTGAGTGTAGCCCATCCACAAGTGCATAAAAGATCTGTTCGGGTAAATAAGTTCAGATAGTAATATCCTTTCCTTTTATATCAGTCAGAGCCTTCTAAAATACATAAACTATTAGATGTCACTCCATGCGTCCTTACAGACAGTAATCGACAACCATTGCTGATTTGTTTGGTACATCGATTCATGAGGTCAACATATGTTGACGAGAACAAATGACGGGCATATTTTAATGCTATTTTGACAATTTATCATAAAGTTACCACTTACCAAAAAATGTCAAGGTTTTATCCTATCATCCTTACAGGAAATGCGTGAACAAGAAGAGGAACATCTTAAAAAATTTGAAGAACTGATTCCTATACACAGAGTGAGGCCTACATTGCTTCTACCTCTATGGAGTGTTGCTGGTTTCGCATTAGGAGTGGGAAGTGCACTTTTAGGATCAAAAAGTGCTATGGCATGTACTGTTGCTGTTGAGTCTGTGATATCCGAACACTACAATAATCAAATTCGCGAACTTATGGAATCTGATCCTGAAAATTACCAAGAATTACTGAAGGTTAGTTTTTCGTAAATGTATATTTTTGATTTTTACTGATTGACTGACTTCGCAACATCCTTTCAAGCTTGGACTGAAACAGGTCTCACTTCTGTCATATACCAATGATGTAGATAGATATAAAGTTGCTGGTTCCTGTGGAACTTTTGTTTAGATTTGTTATGTTCTCGTCGCCAAATTGTTATGTACTCGTCGCTAAATTATTGCTATGTACTGGTCGAGAATTTAATAGTCCTGACGCAAGAAGGCGGAAATCAGAAGACCACTAGGTTTGCGAATGATGCTTCTATTTCCAAACACAAGGAGACGCAATGAATGGTATCACACCAAAGTAAGTAAGTGTAAGTCAGTCACACAATATTGTGAGAACGAAATATATATATATATATATATATATATATATATATATATAGCAGACATGTCAACCACCATATATGGATATATGTCACTAAGCAACGGACTGTCAACAAACACTCATTATATATAATATAAGGGTAATATACATTGTTAAAGGAGACAGGTTCATACAAGTGAAATGGTCACAGACTAAGCGAGCAAACAGAAAAAGAGACCAATATACATACACACACATATATATATAAATGGATACATATCAAGATTCTGATTACAATAAAATGCATAATAGGTTTATTTTTCCTCTCTTGGATGTCTCCGTTAATAAGTTAACTTAAGGAAATTGGCTGCATCTATTACTGCAGCAAAATAGTAGACCGACCTCGATTTTAGGCTGATCATTTGGAGAGTAAAGAAGAACAGTGATTCCACTAACAGAATAGCGATTAAAGTCTTTGTAGCATAAGAAACGTTCCGATAACAAACACTAGAGTTCTATGAGTTCTTTGCAACTTTTTGACGTTCGTCTGTCTATTTCGGCAGATAGCGAGTATAACAGTCGGAGTCCCTTATGAATAGAAGCAAACAGTGCTAATTGTGCCACCAATTTCATATAACTGTCCAGCAACACAGAAACTACTCTGATGATAAATTATCACCTATCACTATATTTCCATGGTTACAGTATGTACACTGCCTCGTTGTTGAGGCGGAAGCGTCGGTTGAGCTTTTGTGCTTTTTGTTGAGCCAATGAAAGTAGTTTATAGTCTAGACCTCATGGCTATTCTTTTCAATGAAGCTTAATCGCTGTGTTGATAAGAGCCTAATTGTCTGTAAAAGCCGGATAAGGAAGACTTCATCTCATTTATTCTGCATGAATACTCGCAATTATGTCATCATGTAAATTAAGAGGAAAGGTGACTATAAGCAATTAGCTCAGGTTTTGTTTTTTTCGCTAAACTAGTTGAATCTTGTGTTGTGGTATTCTATATTGCTATGGTAATAATCAAAAGATTTTTTCACTGTCATCCTCAAAATCGAATGCCTACTTGTGGTTGTTTTTGGCCATGGGCTTTAGAGAAGAGGATTTTCAGCTGTTAATAACTCGTTTCACATTACCCTGTGGGTAAAGACGGACAAATGTTCGGCTGAAACTACTGTAAACCTAATTCAAACAATTTATTCAGTTTAGCGAAAATATTCATTCAGAAATTTACAAAAAAATTGAGCAAAGAATATCCTTTTCCATAATTTCCTCTTCTGCCTCTACAATTATATATATATATATATATATATATATATATATATATATATATATATATATACATCGAATATTCTTTGCTCAATTATTTTTCTAAATTTATTCAGTACCTAATTACTTAGTGACCTCAATACTGTGTATAATGCAAATATTGGAATTACTGGTTGGGCTGGTTAGTTTAGTGAGAATACTGTTACGGTCAGTGATTGCTGTGTTGAGATCCCATTGCGACGGAGGTTTTTTTCAAATCTCTAATCATCACATATATGTAAAAATCGTATCTAATATAGGACTAAGTTGAATAAGAATTAGGGGGTGACAAAATCAAAACCTGAAAACTATCTGTCAAGTCTTTGATTGTTGGCTTAAGCCAGTTACGAAGGGAGCTGCTGATTTTCTGACATGGGAAATCGGGACCCTGTGAGCTGATATCTGGGGATTGTTAGTCGTATGGCTCAAAGTCATTTTCAGTGACTGAAATGCATTCACTCTTTGTAATCTCCTAGATCCAATCAATCCTCATATTTCTTTCTCATTCCTACTCAGTATAGTCCTTTTGAATTTTTTCTTTCGCTCTAATTTTGTGTGCTATATAGAGTGTAGCATCTCCTCCATACAAAGTTCTGCGCTGAAACTCAGTTAGTCCCCATAATATTTAAATTAGTTGGCCCACCTACTGGTGGATTCAGTTGGGGTTGGTCATTACTTTGATCATCCTTCAATAAATCTGTGCATAAAGTATATCTTAAGCTTCACTAAAGCGATGTATGTACAACAAAACGATTTTTCCAACTCTTTATGCTGGTGGTGAACTACAAATCTGACTTTTAACCAGTTTGTCTACTGATTACTACTATAGGAGCCCTCACATCAAAATTGTGGTTTGTTGCTTGGTGTATTCACGTGTATTTGGTTGTTGAATAACGGTCTGTCATTTTTTCCACTTTTGTCTCTAAAATTTCTGTCTACAAGTGTCTGAACCTATTTAAATGGCGAAAAATTGACTTTCGATTTGATTCACTGTATAACACTGACACTTTATCAGAAGTAAAGTAGATTTCTCCAACAAAATTGTATTACAGCAAAAAATAAAGTTAGACCAGAAATAGGACAGTAGTATTTTACTTGATTGGTTTCTTGTCAATCTCATACAACCTAAAGAATTTTATTATTTAGTATGTGTGCATACAAAGTTTTCAGCTTACTTGCTAACATAACATGATATCGGTTTAATGGAGACTCCAAAAGTATTAACAATATGAGCTCAGAAGCTACACGTAGATAAGTGTATAAATTGTTAAACTTAACTTACATTTCCCGCTGATTGATTATGTTGGATAGGAATGCTCAGTGTCTGTAGACTTATCCGCTCCTAGTACGAACGCCTTGATGATGTCTGAACATCGTTGGTTGATGGCGACTAATAGTGAAATACAGGGGACGCATTTCGTCCTATTTGGGACTCATCTGCTGGATGTACCTGCATTCCCCAGTGGGTGATGGTGTTCTCATTGAGACTTGAACCTCACACCTATTGTTTCAAACGCCAAAACGTTATCCATAATGGCCACATTAACCATCTCCTATGCAACAGTTATCATTTATTATCATTATTTTGGTCAAAGTGTATTTCCCCTTAATTGGTCACGTTGAGAAGAAATATTTAGTCTCTCAGAGTAAACATCCACCACTCATTGTGATGCAGGCACAGCTGGCTGATAAGTCCTAGTACAGTACATATCCTGGATACTATTGCTAGTTAATATCAACCGAAACGAGATAAGTGCATGAATTAACATTGATGTCTACAACAAATCAATCATTGGTACAGTTGTCAATAGGTTTTCATTTGGTTATATTTGTTTCCTTGTTGTATTGAACGCCGAATTAAGGATTGCATCAGCAACCTTATCATCAGTTATTGTGTTCTTTTAATTTGTCCTCTGTGTCATTTCACTGATTTCAGTCGGAGTTGTATAATCGTCCCCTAAAGTGTTGATTTTTCATCACATACCCACACGGATAATTGGTGCTCACTAAAAAAATTGTTGTTTTAGAAAAAGAGAGAAAGATCTCAGACATCCGGTTAGTCACTAAATGTATTCATCTCACACAGTCAATATGTGTGACTAATTATTATTTTCTGACAGCGTTTTTCGGCAATAATTTTAGTGTTTGACCTATCGATTGCAAAAGGTTCTTAAACCAATTTTCATAACTATTCATTCATTTATTCATCCAGTGACAAAATCGTTAAAAAATTTCACCTTCATAGATTGTTTGTAAGCAGTCTAAAGTCTCGTGCTTTATATATATATATATATATATATATATATATTGGTGAGTGTTGCTCTGCAGGGATTTGATTGGTTACATATCGAGGTTTATTAATTGGATAACTACAGTTTTTGCATAGTCAGTTTACAGAACTGTTTTCTTCTCCATGAATGATAAGTAAAATTGAGCGAAAACTGAACTCTTAACAGAATTTGAACACATAAATCTCTCGGAGTTTATTGCTTGAATAACCTACTTACTGATTAAACCAAACGATTCAAGTGTTACGGTAACCTTTTTCACCTCAATTAACAGATTAACCATTGGGTAGCAGTAGAAGCTGCTTATTAATTACTAAATACAAAATGAATTTCTAACTATGCAGGCGTAACGCTTTTAAGGGATTGGTTGATTGATTGACTTGAAGGCCGATATCGTTTTGAAAATTTAAAAGAATCCCGGCCGGTGATTGCTACCTTGTCGTGGTGGTCGGGCTTGAATACCGTAATTACCCAACTTGCTAAACTGACTGGGACTCTGTTCTTGCAGGTCCTACCATGTCAGGAAGGTTGTTTGGATAGCGGTTAAACTAAAAGCAGTTACCATGGGGTACATGGGCTCCAGTATCTAATGGGATCAAATGGCGTATGAACCAATATGTGTAAACCATGGGAATGCAGCTCCTGACGCTGCTCCGCTGCCTCACGGATTAGACTCCAAGTCAAAGGCTCGGGGGGTGGTCCCTTAATAAAACCACCTGCTTCGGTCTGGGCGCCCGGGTAGTATTTCAGCCCTCACACAATGAATTGAATAAAGCAACAAACAATCAATGAGACTTATTGCGTACTATTACACATGTTGCAATTTCCTTCTTTCTTCCCTTCCTGATGATAGTTAACGAATGCTATTTGAACTTGTTAAGCATGACTGTTTTCCTTCCAGATGAAGTTCTTTATCCGTTCTCTACTTTTTTGATCTATGTTGTTTTATTATTATTGTGTGGCGCATCCTTCTTGGTGCCATATTGTACTAAGTTTTTATGCGTTTAAATAAATAAATAAAATATACCCTTTAGTGAATTTGGATAGGGTTGCTAGAAGATGGCATAGACCTGGAAAATATGATGTATTTGCACAATGCATTTTGAACAATCTGATCACACACTTGTCAATTCAATTTATATGAAAAAATAGGACTTCAATTACAATAAACAAAGTGGTAAGGGGGAATTTAAGAATATGACGGATAGTTATTAACACTACTCTTGGAAATATGAAATCATTGTGACTGCTATCAAAATTCGTGGTGTATTCAGCAACTTTTTTAAATCTTAGTTTGCTACTCTTCCACATTTCCGACTTATGACTTCGTGAGGTGTTGATTTGAGGACCGTCATGTTACTAGGCAAAAATGTAACCATTCAACCTCTAATCTTGGAGTTCAATGACTCATGACTTTCAGTTTTCGGATAAATAAGGCTACGACAATCTTGTGTCATTTTTAAATATTTGTCCTTACATTTAGTGGAATGGATGAAGCGCATGACTTCTTATTAGATCTTCAGGGAGTTCAACCCAAAGCTGATCATAAGTCAGCAGTATTCTGATATTCAAAGATTGGGTTTGTGTGAGCTGGACTGATTTTAACGTGTACATAATTGCAAAGCAATAACAGGTACAATACCAGCAACAATTAGAAAATCTCTTCCTTCTTTCTGTAGCAAGCAGTTGAACGTTTTGGAAATTTATCCTGAGCAGTAACATAAATACTTTTTCTTTTTAACTTCCAAATGGTTTGTAGACATTGAAAAAGTTCCGTGATGATGAAATTGAACATCATGATACGGGTATTGAACACGAGGCAGAAAAGGTAAGTGATTAAAGTTTTGTCTATTGTATTATATAAGTGAATACTCTTGTAATGCCAATCGTGGTAAACGAAAGTGGATTAGAACTGTTATGATTGACTTTATTTATTGATAATGCACTATGTTCAGTTTATCTAGTGAACGTTGTAGTCACACACACAAATTATATGTGGCAGGTGCTCCTCATCTATAAATTTGTGTTTTCATTACACTTTCTGCGTAGACTTTTTTTGACTGCTTCCAGTAAATTACCCATTATCATCCTATTAAACTGTGCCTTACTTTTGTAGGCGTTTGACTTTTGTTTAAGCTAGTCTAATCCTCATGCTTATTTTGGAGCGATGTTATAACGCACCCTTAAATACTCCATTGTCAACGAGTGACACTAGAATACGAGTAAAAACAAAGTATATCAGATGCAGTAGTTCACATGTACTAACATAGAATCATGAAAAGGCAATTTTATTTACGTAGTTTTGAGATCTGTCTAGATATGACTGAAGCGACATTTAATGCTACAGATGACTAAGAACTCTGGTACTTCATAATAAAATTTCAATTCGAACTTTGGTGTCAGTGCCTAAAGAAATATATTAGTTATGTCATCACGTGAACATAGCAACTAACTGTCTCTACAATAAACGTCGTTGCTAGGATCATCTATAAGTTCATTATTATTCTTTGGTTCAGTTAACGAAGTTTTCCCACTAGCTGACAGATAAAAGGCTTGTAACATAAACCACAGAATAAACTGCCAGTACTCTGTCAACCTCTTAATGCTAATATTCCACCGAGGTTGTATTTCAGTTTAAAATAATAGTATATCGTCGTAAGTGTAGAACTTGGGCTCTGTGGAAGAATGTAATTCCCTATTAGATAAGTTTATTTCAGATATCACATAGTGATGTAGTATTAACGACTGGATGATGAAATCACCCATAGATTTTTTGATTTTATTGACAATAGTGTCCGCGGATTTTTTAAAAAATTTTCTCATATGGTCCTGTTTCGGTACTTTGACTGACCTTGTTTATGTGGTCTAACTTGTCCATGAGTACATTTGCACTGCCCTTGTCATATTTTGTTTCTGTCGTTCTTCAAGTCTTTTAGAGCTGCTATTTCTTTTCTTCTGGTGTTTCAATGCCAATGCACATTGTGCTCTGACTGGTTTTGCACTGGTTTCGTCTACTTCGCTTAATACCACCCTTATACTAGGAATGACGTCTTCAGGTTTTAATCTGTTAACAGCTATATTGAAGTTTAATCCCTTTTCAAGTACTTATATTTCATCAGAAATACTGCATCACTGTGTGTTATTTAAAATGAACTTATCTAATATGAAATGATACATTGTCATTGAATCACATAATTATTTTCTTATTTTTTATCGTACTGTTATTATCATTATTCAGTGTAACTCTGCCGTAAGAAAATGAAGTATTTGGTACATCATTTAATTATTCAAGAACTTAGAGAACATAATTTTGTTTACTAAATTTCATTTGTGAGAAGCAAACAAAACTATATTGGACCGAAGTTCACTACTAAAGTCGTTCCCATTTTACAGGCACTGGATAGTAGACACTGGCATATGGCACACCATATTTCTTACCCTGAAATCTAGACTTGTAGTTCGTTGAATTCTAGGTATTGTAAAGAGAGGGTATCGGGAAAGTATATTATCTCAATCTAGAAACTCAGTCTAGTATTACCTAGTCGCCGAGCTCATCTTTATGCATTTTGCTGTGAATCACACAGTTTGCTTGAGGGTTGAATATGATATGTAGCTGCCCCAAGTTTGATGCTGGAGTGCTCATTATGTAAAATCGACTGTTCACCCTGATAAGTAGCTTCGCCCATGTAAGAACTTATGGTAAGCTAACTGATTTTGCAATAGTCATCGGTATCTTTGTAGGATTCACCGCTTAGGTCATTATTGAATAGTATACAGACGTAGTGTAAACATACTGAAAAAAAAATGAAAACTCACATAAGAGCCGTGAGTAAAAATCTGAGTATATTCAACATCCATTTTCCACCTGTTGAATGGAATACGATGCTTCGGGACTGGTTTGGGAATAGGAAGTTCATGTTAAAGACACTATAAAATTGTTGCCTTGTCTGATGATAAACTTTGTGCGACCTAAGTGTGACTCCAATTACATGTAAAGATAATTATTCACTGATTCAATTCAAGTGTTTCATAGTGATATGTATAATGTGATTGTTAGTACGTGAGTAAACAAACAGGTCAAATTGTTCGCTAATTTACTTCTCATTATCTCTCTTATGAAACCACTTTGATTTCCTTTTGTGTATTATTCTAAAACAATACTACTTGTCTAAGTTAAGCCGGCGAAAGTAATACTAAATCGGTTTGTAGCAAAGTTGTGCATATCCTCAGGTGAAATTAATCGTTCAAATGCGATTAAAACGACAAAACTAATTTCTTGTTTTCTATCACATCCAGACACAAAAAGATTTCTGCAGAGTCCATATTGTTCTTATTTCACACTGTAAAAAATTCTACTAAAAGGGTTAGAATTCTGTAGTCTAAAATGTCGCTCTGTTGTATCACCAGATGGTTGAAGTATATCTATATCTATTTCAAATCCAACATTCTGACATATTAGTTGTCGTGTGATGATTAATTTCTTTACATTTTATCATCCATATTAAGCCTAGCCTCCTTAGTTATTGTATTTCGTGTACCATCTAATGAGGCAATAATCGTAAATTATTTTAAAAAAAGTAATTAAATTTGGTATTTAATTTTCAATAAGCGTTGTTTCTTTTCCTTGTTTTCCACTTAGGCTCCTTTCTACAAAATTATGTCTCAAGTAATTAAAGCAGGTTGTCGTGCAAGTATCTATCTGGCGGAGCGCATCTGATGGTAGTATTACAGTAGTACCCTTGTACAATGATTACTGATTACCCTTCATGATATTTCCTGGTGTCTTAACGTCCTACAGTGTAAATTCTCTCATACCTTATACTCTCTAAGTAGTATTTAACTTGTTCTCACGCAATACTTGTTTTCTTTTTATTTAAATAAGAAGAAATTACCACTGTTCATACGTAAAGAGCGGTTGAATTATCCTAACTACCGTTTTCTTCAATGAATGCTTATTGAACGAGTAGCTTTACAACTAACATATATATATATATATATATATATATATATAGTATATATATATATATATATATATATACTATACATTTACTACATACTGCTGATATTTCGTTTTAGTCAAGTTATGATTTCTAGGAGTGCGTGTCTTACGGTAACTTATATGCAGGTGCTTTTACTTAGCGTTAAGTGTTAATCATAGGATTTCAGCTGATAGACAGATTCGCAACGAAACGTTTTATCTGTATATTATAATTGGCATGTATTCGCTTGTTTGAATTTTCTCTATGTGGGTAGATAAAAATTATGCTCATAGAAGTTCATGCATTGACTGCAATCATCTCATCTTATTGAGGTTCCATTCGGTTTTGTCGAAACTGTTCCTCTTTTGCTTCCGTTAACCTACATGTTGTTGTGTAACGCATAATAATTGAAAGGACAGAAAGGAGGGTATATCTACGATTTTCTGAAAATGTACCAAAATGCTTTGAATAGTGCCATCGCCAGACATCTTCTTGACACGGGTCATGAGGTGAACGTCGTAAAATCTTTCAAAATTATCAATAGGCCAAAGAACTCAATTCTCTTCAAGTTTTCTGAAGCCATCTCCATCAAGCGCCTGAAACCTGATTTGTGCGTTCAGAAAGAAACAGTTATCAGTCTTTCTTTGCCCTGGTAACTGGTATTTTCATCTGAATACGTAATACCGAAAGTTTCCATTGTGTATGATCACTATTGTTCGGAGTAGTGTTTAATATTACATATATACACATTATTACTGTGTGCATATATTGATTGATTTATATTTGTTTTAAATGAACTCTGTGCAAGCATGTTAAAATTGTTTCTGTAGATATTTAATAATGACTGTGGCCTGTAAGCAGCTGATGAAAAGGCAACGAAAAACTGTAGTTCTCACCCTATTCAAATTCATTAAGGGAAATAAATGTATGAAATTATGCTTTCCTTGATTCATTTTTAGCGATGTAAAATATAACTGAGAGGTGGGATTAGTTTGTCCTTGTTCAGTTGTGTTTTTTTTAATCACATCAAAGGGGAATCAAGTTCTGAAAAGCTTGTTTATGTTTGTATCAATTGCAGTAATAAACTGAAAAAAATAAGCATCTGGAAAAACAGGCCCACACTATTTTTAAGAGTAAAGTTAATTACTAGCTTGTTTAAAATGTTTGTCTGTTATAGTTGTTGCCTTGGGTACCGAGTGGGATATAGGGCTTCAGCAGCAAGTCTCCATTTTTGTCCTATTTTCTGTACTCCTCCTAAGTTTCTCACACGTTTGCACATGGTCTTTCATCTCCTGCATATCAGCCTTGCATCCACTCCAACTCGTCGTTCCACACTCGAGTTATGACACGCGAGGTTATTTGACAGTCCTCTCATCGTGTGCTCAATCTCTTCACAGTCTCTCCTTGGCTGGTTTGTCCTTAGGGTTTCTTGTTGGTAATTCTTCCTGGCCATTTGATCTTCAGTATTTAGCGAAGGCGGTTATTATTGAAATTCTAACCTGTTGGAAATGCTTTTCGTGGCGCCGACACCACGTTTCTAGCTCGTATAGAAGGACCGACATGACGATGGTGTTAAAAATTCGAATTTTGTTCTTTGTGTTCAGTGCACAAGACTTCCGAAGTGATTTAAAATTGATGAAAGCTGACTTTGATATTTCCATCTGTTCCGCCTGTAGTTGAAACTATGCTTCCTAGATGAGTGAAAAGAATAACCTCTTTCAGATTTCTCCCGTTGATAGTGACTGGTGCTTGTTATTGCTGAGTGAGTATCTTCATCACCTCCGTCCTTTCTATATCCACTTGAATTCCTTTCTTCAGCTGGTTCGCTTGTTTTCGCCTGCAAGCCTTCGAGTTTCTGTGACATGAGAAATAAATCATCTACCAAAATCCAGATCATCAAGAATTTTTCTGTCCATCTAGCGTATTGCTGTGCCCAGAGTTTGACGTACAGTCCGGTCCATCATAATTAAGAATATCACCGATGATAATAGGCAACCAGCGTTGTCTTACTCTTGTCTCCACTTCGAACGCCTCAGAGTTTTCCGTTGTGGATCGCCTGACACGTGCCGCCGCCACATATCTGTTGAATGAGGTTGATGGACACTTGGGGAGTGCATACCGTATTGTTTAAGTAGTTTCCAAATTACTTCTCAGTTACGCCGTCTGGTGAATCCCTTTTCGCAGTCGATGAAGTTGGAGTAGAGGTTTGATTGCCATTCTATGCTTTGTTCTGTGATGACGATGTGTAGAGTTGCGATTTGATCGGCACATGATTTACATTTTCTGAATCCAGCGCATCTTTTATTCTCTTCGGGATAATGCGACTTAGTATTTGACTCCGCGCCAGTTCCTACAGAGGACTACGTCGCCCTTCGGTAGTCTGACGAGATAAACTGTCTTCCAGTCAGTAGGTAGGTACCTTTCTTTCCTTCCAAACGTTTTGTAAGAGCGGCGTGACAACATCCGCTTCTGTCTCGGAATCCATTTTCAGTGTTTCAGAAGGAATACCATCCGGCCTTCAGTGGCTTGTTTGCACCCAAGCCTTCTGCTGTTGTTAGGGGATGGGTGTCCATTGGCAATTTTGTACGGGCTCTTGGTGGTATTTCTGAACGAGTTGCATGTAGCAGTCTGTTCAACAGTCCTTCAAAGTGATCAGCCCATTGCTTTATTTTCCTCTCCTATTCGGTTCGCTTCAACATATTTCTTAAGTTTCTTCCGCGTTGATCTTTAACCGGATAAAGATCTGGCTGTTCGGTACAATGCTATGAGTCCTCGTTTACATGCAGCCTGTCTGTTCTGCTTCAGTTGACGTCCAATGTGTCGCAGAATTGTCTTTTGTCTCTCCTTGCAATCTTCACTTCTTTACTCAGTGCCGTGTACACTGAGCTCAGCTTCTCCTTCTGTTGCCCATCTTTGCATTGATGAACTTTCTCTTTCACCAACCTCCTCTCTTCCATTAGCTTTCAGGTACGCGTCCATTGAGAGTCATTTTTGTCTTGTCTCTCCCTTCTTCGTAGAGCAGTTGTAAACGTTTCCGTGAATATCATCTCCAGAGAGTTAGAGCCAGTGTCCATTCACACAGGTTTCCTCGAAGATACCACGTAGTGTTTCCGTCTTCGCTCTGATCTGAAAATTGTAGTGAAGGTGTCCGTTGTAGTTTTGACCCTCAGTTTCTGAATATTGAATTGTGGTCCGTCTGTAGGCGCTTTCCTTGAACTATATAATAGTCTGAGCTCGCCCACATCTGTTCCCCTTCTCGACTTTGTGTCCAGATGGCTGCGTCTTCACTTTTTTGAGCAATGTTGGGATTCCAATATCCTGATTACGAGCTAGTATAAACCAGTGATTTCTTTGAGCTCGCTTCTTGATTGTGAGGTAGAGGTTCCAGATCTTCGGTGAGCTTCTGCGTAGTAAGTCCCGCCACTCGACTGCTTTAGCTCTGGTAGACTCCAGGAGGAGTGGTGCGGGGATTGGTCGAGATGTGGTTTGTAGTATGCAGTATGTTAGGACTGTATTGCTGCCGTGAATGGAGTTTGACCTAACTCCCGTTGGTCATTCGGTGTAGTCATAAAAGCAGAATAGTAATAATAATAGGTTGTAGTGTAGATAATATAGGTTGAGATAAGTGGAATAATAAAGGTGACCTAAGGAAAAGATAGAGTGAGAGAAGGCAGAATAGGTCGTGGGGATTTAGTTTGTACGCTTATCCATTGACAGTGTGGTTTCAAGTTTTATGAGGATAAGCCATTGAGACACAAACCTTGCATTTCTGCATGATTGTCTAGCTTCCGCTTAAAAATCTCCAGAGATGGCGCTGTAGTCACGGCCGCCGGTAAAGCGTTCCAGAGACGGCAAACACGAAGCGAAAAGAAATGTGATCGCACTCGAGTCTTTGGTCTCTGGTGTGCTATCCTTAGCGGGTTACCTCGTGGAAGCCTATAATCACTTAATGGCAGGATGCTTTTATTTGGGTGGGCCTGGTCATTTAGGATCTTGTAGACGGTGATGAGGTCTCCCCTGTGCCTACGGTAACTAAGTGTGAAAAGACCTAATTTCTTTAGTCTTTCCTCATATGATTTGTTGCGGAGGCCGATCACCCATTTTGTCGCTCGTCTCTGGACACTTTCTAGAATGTTAGCATCCCTTTTGAGTAGCGGAGGTGCAATGATATTATGCACCTCAAGGTGTGGCCTCACATATGCCTTGTATAACCTTAAGAACAGTTCGGGAGTGAGAGCTCCCAGCTGCCTATGCATAAAGTGTAATGTTGCGTAGGCTTTGGCGACGTCCCTCGAGTAATTTCCACTGGTGTCTAGCTTTTCTGTTAGAATAAGACCTAGATCACGCTCTGATGGAACACAACTCAAGTTCTGGCCACCAAGGGTGTAATTTACACTCTGTGACCTGCCGGAATGAAGTTGCACTTCTTTGGGTTGAAAGGCATTCCGTTAGCCAGAGCCCAGTTTCCCAGAGTTTGCAGGTCAGCCTGCAATCTATCTGAGTCTTCCGATGAGTTTATTGCTCTCCAAATCTTTACGTCGTCAGCGTAAAGAAGCGCAGAGCAGTTTAGTTGGGGGGCAGGTCGTTGATAAAAATCAAAAACATCAACGGCCCTAGGATAGAACCCTGAGGAACCCCTGATGCCGAGGTGTGCCAGGATGATCGGATGCGGTTGACTTTGG